CCTCTGTCTTTCTGAATTTGCACCCTGGTGTGTTCCTGCTGCAATGGAGGGTTCAAGCACTTGGTGAACAGCAGCCTGGGCACAATCTGCCCCATGTGCAGGCTTCTCTGCTCCCCCAGCACCACCTTTCCCAGTTTTGGTGGGTTTTTTCCCTTGAAATTTGTGCTCCCTTTTTCTGCCCCAGTCCTGGAGCGCTGGGAGCTGTGCGGAGCTGTCCACGAGGGTGAGAAATGGGGTGCTATGTCCTGGCACAAGAAGTGGTTCTCCCATGTACCCAGAGCAGCTGTGCTGGCTGTGAGCCACCCTGCCTGCCCAGCTTGAGACCCCTGTGCACGTGGCCCTCAGCCCCCCAGCAAAGCCTGCAGCTGAGGGTCTATGTCCACTCATACTTTGGGGCCTTGCAGCCATCGAGATGTAGCCCTGGATGGTTTGTCACCTGGCAGGCTGTGTCCCTGGGGGCTCACAGGGCTGCGCTTTGGCTATGCTGAATGCCACCCATGGGAGCTGCTTCACTGTGTGCTGCTGCCGCTTCTAGCTGCCTCTAAGCCTTTTGCTCCCAGAACAGTGCTGCTCTGTGATGGTTGCCCTTGCTCCATGGGCCACGGCTGCTTCCGTGAACAGGCTCCACCACGCAGGGTGATGTCTGCGCAGGCTGGACAGTGAGGTGCCCCTGATTTTTGCAATCTCCTGGCAGTTGCTTGTCACAAGTGGGTCTCCCGAGTGTGCTGCCATCTATGTGCACAGTGCGCTGAGCAATTGCCTGCCCTGCTGCAAGGGGTGCTCCTGGCTGGTCCTTGGCTCCCTGTCCCAGGAGCAATATCCTACCCTGGTGGCTTGTCCTTCATCAGTGATGTTTGGCCTCCCTCCTGCCAGAATTTCTCCATGTTCCCCTGCTCTGTGTTCAGCCTTGCCTGAGAGCTCCAGCCCTGATGGTGATGGGTTTGGCCAAGGGCAAAGCAGCTGCATCTCCTGCAGGGCACAGGCAGCTGCAAAACCTGGTAGTCTGAGCCTAAGCAGAGCAGGTGGGGCCTTGCAACTGGGTGGGAGGAAAGCTGCCCAGACAAGGGGTGCAAGTCCTCATCTGGGGCTCTGTGCCAAGGGACTGGGAGCAGAGCTGCGTGCGAGCAGAAAAGCGTGCCCCCAGCTCAGCTCTGTGGGGCAGGGTGGGCCCCAGCCCACTGTGCGCTGTGGTATGGGACACAAGTGTCCCTTTAGCTCTGCTGCAGCTCTTCAAGGCCAGCGTGGGGCTTGCAAAGAGCCCAGTGCCACAAGTGACAGCAGGGCTTGGGTGATGTGGGCAGGGTAGCTGTTAGTGCCCTCCCTGAGCTGCCCCTGCCTGGGCAGGCGATCGTGGGGGGTGCAGCTCCACACTTGTGCCAGGTTGGGGCAGTGCCAGCGAGGCTTCCTGCCCTTAGCTCTGCTGCAGCTCTTCAAGGCCAGCGTGGGGCTTGCAAAGAGCCCAGTGCCACAAGTGACAGCAGGGCTTGGGTAATGTGGGCAGGGTAGCTGTTAGTGCCCTCCCTGAGCTGCCCCTGCCTGGGCAGGCGATCGTGGGGGGTGCAGCTCCACACTTGTGCCAGGTTGGGGCAGTGCCAGCGAGGCTTCCTGCCCCAGCAAGTGCTGCTGCTGCTGGCTGTCACTTGTGAAGTGGCATGTATGCATGGGTGTTGGGGCAGCAAGCCTAAGGTGGTGCGAAGGCAGAGATGTGGATAGGGCAGGTGCCCTTGCTGAGGTGCCGTCCCTGGGGCTGCGGGCAGCTGGGACTGTCCCATCCCTTGGTGCAGGGCCAGTAGAGGGTGCTGGGTTGGAGCTTCAGCATGCAGAGAGGGGGTGGCAGGCCTCAGGGACGGTGGGGAGACCTCAGTCCTGCTGGGAGTGCCCCAGCACCAGGCATGTATGGGAGCAGGCACCTGCCCTGGGGTGGCCCACAGTGGCCATAGGTATCACCAGGGAGGAGGGGACAGAGGCAGCGCTGCCATTAGCACTGCTTTGAGTGCCTTGTTGTGCTGTGCTGTCCCCTAGATCAGGCCACAGCTGTAGATGTTGATGATGCCAGCACCAACTTCACTGACAGCATCAAGGATGAGGCAGTCCACGGCGTGGCAACCCCGCACGTGAGTCAGGGCAGTGTGGCACCTGGAACAGGGGTGGCAGAGTTGGGCACTGCACCACTGCCAGACCGTGTGCTAGCCCCTTCCGGAATGTCCCTGTCACACTCTGTCTTTGTCCCTCTAGAGTGGCCCCTGGGCCCCTAAGGAAAGCAGGGGCACTGAGAGGGCCCTGATGGGGAGCACGGCACCCACCATAGCGGAGCGGGAGCTGCGGGCGGAAGAGGAGCTGCGGGAGCTGAAGGCACAGCTGGAGGAAGCCGGCTTCTCCTCTGTCTCCCACATTAGGTAAGAGCCCTGGGACATGGGAGCTGGTGGCAGCTCAAGGAGGCACCCTGTGTCTCTGCCGCTGCCTGCCCTTCACAGTGCCATGTGCCCCCAGGAAGGCGATGCTGAGCCTGTGCCTGGAGAATGCAGAACTGAAGGAGCGGATGGGTGAAGCCACGTCGCTGCTGGAGAGTGGGGAGCAGGAGGAGGCTGGGCCAGGTCCCCCCCTGGCCCCTGAGCCCCGCAGGCTGCAGCGGAAGAGCCGCAGCACCCTCGGGGACTGCCTGGCTGGTGGCAGTGGTGATGGCCAGGGGGTCTTGGCAGAGAGGGGAGCGGTGCCTGCCAAACGCCCGGCGCTGGAGGCACGAACCCAGGATGATGTGCCCAAGAGACCCTGCCCTGGAACCCCGAGTGGAGGGCATGGGAATCACGTAAGTGCCCTGGGCACAAGGGAACTGGGATGGGGATGGTGGTGGTGATGAAGGTGGGGAGCTCACAGCCCATCTCCCCTCTGGCAGGCAGAACACACAGCCCCCAGTGGGGCCTGGCCAGGGCTGGGTGCGGAACTACGCTCCCAGGTGGCGCAGGGCCAAAGGCAGTGCCAGGAGCTGCAGGACAAGCTTGCTGCCTCGGAGGCCACGGTGCGGGCACAAGCCGAGCAGCTGGAGAAGTACCACGTCCT